CCTGGAACCCCAGAACCTTGGTAGTTTAGAACTCTGGAACCTTGGAACTTTCGAACTTTGCAACCACCGAATCCTGGAAACTTGCCACTGTGAAATCTTGGCACCCTGCAAAACCTTGGAACCTTGCACGCTGGGTTCACGGTTTGGTTGCTAGAAGGCTATAGGTTGGTAAATATGGTGGCAGCGAAATCATTTTGAGAAACGGCAGTTACTCTGACGCAGTGCGGGATTTGCTTGCAGGAGCGGTGTGCTCCGCCAGAATGGCCGTGTTTCCTCTAATTTTCCGTTTTTGTGCAATAACCATGTTTTTCCTATTACATCCTTGAGCTCCCAAGGCAGGTCAGGACCTAGGTGTTGATACCTGATTTTATTCAAGGTATCGACGGTATCGATGAAGGGGGTATAGTACACCACTGTCTACGGTAAAATCGTGTTATAGTGAGTGATATGTGTTTTTATTCTTTTGTTATATTAGTTGCAAGTTTTATGGGTGCATTTGGTTGGCATGCGTTACGTGACATAGGATGAGATGTAGCCCCATAACTTTTTTTTCCTCAGTTATTTGTGGAATGGTTGGAATGCATTTCATGACGTAGGATGAGATGTCCCGCCATGAATATCTTATAAGTTATTTGTCGAATTTATGCCTTGAAACCGTGACTTCTTGGTTTTATTGTCCTGCTACGTCCTGCTACACAACCATCAACATTCATTGCAACCCTTCTCAATTGAAACTTCACAGGTCTCCGACTAACCTTGTCCAATTACTGTTGCATAGCAACACTTCTCCACCGCAAACCTTCAAAGGTCTCAATCTCCAAAGATAGTTGATAGTATCCTTATAAGCTTCATCCCGTTTTACCTATTATACTGATACTTGTTTTAGTGGTCAGCTGCTACCTTGGTGTTTTACGTGCTGCTGGATGTGGTGTTGCGGCTTTCGCCTATGTGGCAACACACCAAAATGACCTCAAGGAAAATCAAAATCAGGTGAGCATGTTTAAACCCTAAAAATTTAAGATACGTGGTGTGGTGCACCAGAACTAAGCCTGATAGCACATTTCTCGCAAGTGATGTTTTTATAAACACAAGACAGCCGCCAAACTGGAAAATCATCCTTCGCGTAGTCAGAACCTGTGAAGCCATCTTGGTCGATTCCAAGGGTGCCAATGTACAGAAAGCAATGCAAAATACCCATAAGAGGAAATGTTATGCAACAAACTGCACATAGTTTTGGCAACGTGGTCACCAATCCGTTTCCCTGGGTTTCCTTTTCTCGCTGTGCTACACGAGGCGCAGTAGCTCCAAGCTTCCTATAGCACCTATGGCATTGGTACCGCGCATGGAGAGGTTCAAACAACAACTGATGAGCCATCATAAAACCCTACTGGGCCCTTCTGATCCTTATGTTTCCTAGTTTGCTAAAGTGAATTTGAATGGCTTTGTTGGACGCATTCATATGTTTACACCATTGCACTTTGGCGGAACAACTGCAGGACAGGGAGGATAACCCCGCTTGGTCCGTGGTTGAAACCTTTCTTTGACATGACGTTGCTCCATGCGAACATGACTGCTAAACGCACTGCTTCACAAGTTGCTACACTGCATTCTCCCGCAAGCATTCGCCATGCCAGCAATGAAGTCGCACACGGGAATGCATGGCTCTGCGTGCGCACTCGTTGCAACATTGCAACCTATGCCATATGGTTCTGCCTAAAAGGGTACATCACAGAAAGTATAAGTAGAACAAGGAATAACCACAACAGTGAAATAATGGAAAGTTCTCTGTCAGTGCTTCCTATAAAAACGAGTTTGAACCTAAAGTCGCCCTCAAGCCGCACTTTGCTTTTTGTTATGCAATACATAGATATGTCGACATACCCCTAGTACCGAACGAAGGCGGTGGCGGAAGTTTCAACGATAGGAAACCTATAGGAGTTCGGTTGCTGAGTTGCATGGGCTGCAAAGCAAGCCACTGACGGATCGACAAGTGGTTGAAGGGCGCGCTTTGGAGCGCATGCAATGGCAATGCTTACCGGAGACACGACTGCCGGACCTCTTTTTGTCTGTTCGATTTATCCATGTCGCATTCGTCCATCTTAGCATCTAAGGCGGTGGCGGAAGTTTCAACGATAGGAAACCTATAGGAGTTCGGTTGCTGTGTTGCATGGGCTGCAAAGCAAGCCACTGACGGATCGACAAGTGGTTGAAGGGCGCGCTTTGGAGCGCATGCAATGGCAATGCTTACCGGAGACACGACTGCCGGACCTCTTTTTGTCTGTTCGATTTATCCATGTCGCACTCGTCCATCTTAGCATCTGGCACACGAGCAGGTATGGCATAGTGTCTATACCAATCTCTCGCGTCCCGCAAGTTCTCGCTCAATTCACACAGCACAGAACACATGCACATGCGCGCACTGCCTCCAGCAAGCAGGGCCGTCCAAGAGACTTTGATCTTTCAGCTTCCGTGCGTTTTAGTCTACGGCGTCATTCTTGTAATCCACTGTTCATGTTGGGCAGGCAATTGCGATCTTTATGTGGTCTTGTATCTGCAAGCTGTGAGCAATTGAGGATTGTCAAACATTGTTGTTGCAACATCGTGTCACTTGCAGCATGATGCAATACCCTTGTATGACCTCTGCGTTCAGCATGTGTCATGCGTTTGGCTTCGGCATTCGCTACATAGACAATCCACAGCTTCAGCATTGCTCCGCCGTTTTTTTTGATCACGACAGCGGGCGGCTCTGACCTCAATCCCGACGGATACCTGTGCAAGAGGAGAGTGTCATCATTTCATTGCAGGCAAGTGTTCTTAGAACAAGCATGTGTCACCACAAAATTGTTGCTCGCAATGAAAAGCGCGCGCCTGCGTGGCTTTCTGCAGCCTTCGATATCATTTCTTTTTGTCTTACTTCCGGGGTGCCTTACTGGCATGCTTAGCACACACGGGTGACAGCAAAACAAAATCCATATCCTGCATTCAAACACCTCTAACTCTAACCTTCGGCACAGTGCAAGCAAGAAGCTGCCTTCCTCTTCTTCGCATTGTCTTGTTGCTTGTCTCCACCCACTCGATCTGTGGCATCTCCCTTCCGCTTCCGTCCTTTTTTCCGCAGCACCGGTACTTGCTGCAACTCGCGTGCTCGGGTTTCATCCGTGAGTGCTTGCACATACACTATGTGTTCACATTCCGCATGCATGAGGAATTCCACGCACGTGCAAACCATGCTGGGGATGCGCACTTCTGTTTTGCGGCGTTGCCGTGGCCAGGACGAATTTGGCAGGTGCCCAACCATGACCGCACAATGGAAACCAAAGTAAGTTCTGAGCGCATCGATGTTCAAGTCTCTTTTCGTCTCTTCATGTTTGATGATGCCGCTCTTTGCGAGCCATGATGCCAGTTCATCTCCTTCAGTCGCGATGAGGTTTGCAAATGCAGTGCCGAACTCCTTGCTTATCACTGCATCAGCAGGCATGATACCATTCAGTTTTGCGGAGCGTAGAATCCAGAATGTCGTGATGCCGGAGGGATCCACACTGTTTTTCTGACCATCGGTCCGGATGTAGGCTTGGAAGTAATTGGTTTGACCGCAGAGTCGCTTGCCTCTTTCTTGCCAGAAATCGACGGCTGGAGATCGTCCACTTGAACGTAAAGAATCACTATTGAAAAGTGCCTCTGCAGAGCGTTCGGGCCATGTCATGAAGCTGCGCTGCTCACTCCAGCAAAATTTTTGGCACCAATCATTTTGGTAGATATCTTGCATACATGCCAGTACCTCCGTTGGCTTTGCGCGTGCTTGTGCTTCGAGGCGTGTTTGCCAGTAGGAATGGAAGCTCTCCAATGTTTGGGTGCCAGACGAGCTGCCAGGATACGTTCCAATGATGCCTGACCAAAAGCCTGCGAACCAAATGGATTTTGCTCCCCAAAGTGTTGTACTACAACGGAATTGCCTCTGGATATTCTCCGTGGCAGTATATTGGAAACATTGTTCCTGCAAGTATTTTTCCGCTCTCGGGCAAACGGCACGCAACCAATGAAATGTAACATGCCAAACTGCGTCAAACAACTGTATCGTGGGCAAGGACCGGCTCAGTGCGATGACATCGTTCAACTGATCAAACTCCTTCTTCGCCTTCTTTTCAACTGCATCAGACCTCAGTAACACATGTGTTGCAATCGTACATTCTAGTCATTCTACATATGGGCATTTGCACGAGTCTGGTCATCCGGCCTGCGTTCCTGAATGCCTGTTCGTTGCCCCGTCCCCTCTGTTTGACTGAGGCGACGACTTTTCGCGACCAACCCCGAAATGCTTCTGCAAAGTGCTGTACGCAGCTCTGCGCATGTGCGCGTAGTCATCGCAAGGGCGCGAGTAAGGGAAGACTTTCTTTCTTGAAGCTTCTATCCCTTTTGCATAATCTTTGTGCACCTGTAGCACCTGGTTTCGCAAGTCCAAGCCACATTGCTGCTCAGCGATCTCACAAGCTGTGTTAAAAGTTTGTGTCATGTTTTGCTCGCTCTCAGAGCTCACGAGTGCTTGCAGGAACGGTTCTTGGGTGCAGGTGTGGGCTTGCGTTCTTCCGGCTCGTGATTTGGGCCTAGCTTTCGTTTGCACAACAGATTCACTCGGAACTAGAAATGACAGCGTCAAGATGGTGTAGTCGTTTGACACGACCTTTTGCTTGCCATCTACTGCCAATTTCACCACCTTGTTTTCTGCTGCTCCTGCTCTCGCAAGCATGCCTGGACAAGTAAAGACCACGCACACTCGCTCTGCATCTGCAACGGCGCCAGGCCACACAATTAAACGGTGAAGGGGCAGTTTCCGCCACTCTTCCACTTCCGCAACCATGTAGCAACCCATGCTGCTTTTTAGCTCGCCTACCGTCAACTTCCTGACGGGTGCTACGACTCCAGCGCATTTCTTGCGCTCACGAGCCAGATAATCATGCAGCTGAGTGTTTGTGCACCGTACAGATAAGGCTGCCTTTCCAAGTGCTTCTCGCACAAATTTGGTCGTCAGTCAGCTTCTCGGCAGGGATCTGGTTGAGGACGCATTCTTCTGCCACTGTCCAAAGCCGCCCGCCTGCTGGAGATGCCAACTTTCCGTGCTTTCCCCGGCTTCGAACAATCAGCTCAACCTCTGGACCTTTTACTGTCAAAAATGCCCACACAGACACCTCGCACCCTTCACACGCCGCGGGCTTGCAGCAAGCAGATAACCGCCTGGTTGTACCTTTGCACCCTTTGTCCGTGAAGGTATAAATTCCCATGTCCCGCTGGGACCCTAAAATGGCTGTCACTTCATCCCGCAATGCGGAGAAATTTTCTAAGTACCGGCTCGGTTGGCCTTCAAAGATAATTTTATAATCCTGCTGCTGACCCGACGTCCTTTCTGGCTCCTCTGCATTTCCACCTTCTGTTGTGCTGGGCTCCTTTTCCTGCAGTGATCCAACAGCCTGCTGCTGCGCCAGCGACCCATTTTGGGGGGCGCCCTTGCTCCTTTCCACGGAAACGTCATGCTGCAACTGACTGGCCTGATGCGGTTCATTCGCACCTTCCGCTGTAGTTTCGGGTGCTCCGCTCTCTTCGCTGCTCAATACATCCATCGGCGCTGCATCTGTGTGTTGCCGCGCAAGTTCTTCTGATTGCGAACACTTTGGGTCACATGCTTGAGCCTCATCTGCCTCTTCTGCTTCCTGTGGCAAATGGAGCCCGAAGCTCACAGGATGAACATGGATCTCTGCTAACTGCGCTTTACATGATTCTGGCAGGCTAGAATATCTGCGTTTCAAAAACATCGGCCACTTTGAGCCATTGCAGGCACGCATCTCACCGAAACCTCTTTCAACCAAGTAGTGCAGCGCTTCCAGGTACACTTTCCCGGCAATTTCTGCTCCCTTCTCCTCCATATTCTCCGCCAAATGGCTGAACATGGGCCCCGCTCGGGCAGCTGTTTTTGGAGTGATGCACATGCCACAGGAAGCCTTTAAGAGAAGGGCTGGCGGAATGCTCCAGCGAGCGTTTGGAGGCATACGATGCGTCTTGTCACTTTTTTGCCAAGTCTTTCTACGGAGATCTGCTGAAAGAATTCCAGCACCATAAAGAAATCGGAAGGTGAAAAAATCCATCGCCAGCCGCACCGCGTCATCGCAGATTTCCGGATGCACACTCGCAGCATCCTCTTTGCCCACGATACCTGGCCAGATTTGTGCCAGCACTGCGTTCCAGAAGCCCACCACACTCAGCCAGTACCCGCTTTTGTTGAGGCAGGATGCAAATGTTTCATCCACAGGCAATGTTTTCGTCATGTTGTGGCACCTACGTCTGTAGCGGTACACCGCATCTTGTGCTGATGCTCCACTATTCCAGCTCAAAAGTGCAGCTTGCGATGGCAGGGGCGCATGCGGTCCCAAAGTCTTTAACACTGTTCGAAAAATTTCTTTCACAAGAGGCAGCACCACGTCGGCTCCAAAATCGGCCACCTTTGGTGGTCCTGGCTCTCCAGCTTCCGCAAACCCAAACACACAGCGCCCCACCAATCCAATGCTGCATTTTTGCTCTGCAGCTGCCCACCAGTTGCTGAATAGGGACGCTTGCTGCAGAATCAACACGGTTACATTTGTTTGCTGCGGATCTTCTAGCACACTGTCAGCTCCTGTTCGCTTTTTGCTCCGGTCGATAAATGTTTCCCATGGAACACTATCACCTGCAATGGCGGGCATGTTGCATTTCCCTGTTTCCACCCCACTACTTACATCTGCGGCGTTACGTCACTGCCTAAATATCCTGTCGCTAATGCAATGCGAAGGAAGTACGCGCAGCGGTAACGAACTAACTAGCAACAGACACCCACCAACGAATCTTCCACAAACTCTTGACCTAATTTTAACCTTTCCCTGCAACCGCACAACCGCGCCTGTTGCAGCATCTAAGTAACGTTGCCAATTGATGTGACTGCTTTGGTTCCATGTCGAAGATGCCGGCCAAGAAGGACACAATATCGGTCCGCCTTCTGCCGCCCCAATGAACTGGTATCCTCCAGTGTAGCGCAAGCGGTCAACTGCAGCCATATGCGTCCCGACCACCTGGACATGAAATTGATCAGTTTGTTTTCCAGGTGCTAGATCCGGCAGCTCTCGCAGCACCTCGAGCAAGGCATGTTTCAGAGGATCCAACGCTGGACTTTTGCCAGAGCCTGGTGCTGCTGTTCCAACCGCCCAGTACCTGGCCCTGCAAGGGAAGTTGGCCACTCGATACGTAATATCCTTTTTCAACAAGCTTGCCACCAAGGCAAAAAATGCATCGATGTAGAAAATTGTTGGCAAGCCCGTCGTTCTGCTCCAGGCTTCAAAAAGTACAGCAACTGGTAAGAAGCATGTTCGCCAGAAAGGCACGGCAAGATAAACCGCATTTGCGCCAGTGATATTGTTGGAAACATATTCTGCAACGGCAGTCTGCAGCCGATGCTCCATGGTAGCCCACGATGCTTCTACAATTTCCACAGAAAAGTTCGCGACCTGTGCTATGCATGCGTGCGCATCACCGCCGCTGAGATACGTGTGAAGCAAAGAAGCAACTGCTTCTTGAAATTCAAGCTCCCCATCTGCAGTCTCAATGATCACGTCACCTTCAGTGACAGTACCTTTTGCGCCGTCTGTCTCGTTGCCTGCCTGCAGTGGTGTCATTGTCATTGCTGCTTGGGACATCACTTCTCCATGGCTTTCAGCTGCCACGATTGCAGATGATCCCTCTGCTCTTCCTGAATCCTTCAGCAACGCAGCTACACAAGACTCTTGCGCCAATCGTTCAAAATGGGATCGCACCCGTCCTTGCCCTGCCACGTTCTTGATGAGCACAATTGCTGGAGGCTTCGTCGCATCCACATTTACAACGCAACAGGGAAAGAACTCAGCTGCATCATTTCTGTCGTGCACAATCACAAGATTTTGCGCGCGTGCATGTGCGATGGCAGCTATTTCATCATAACTGAAAAAGTACGTCTGGTCCATCACCGTTGCCCAATACGCAGTCATGGCTGCACCCCAGAATGACAGCGGCTGAATTGGCACTGCTTCTTGCTGCGTGGTGCGCATGGAAGCACCCATCAGTTCTGCGAGCCTGTGCGCCTCAGCGCAATCATTGGCGGTCCCAACTGCACGCAACACAGACATGCAACATATGTTGCGATTGAAGAACACAGCGACCCTCAAGGCATCAAATCCAGGATCCTTGTCTTGGATGGCTTCAAATTTTGTTGTTGGGCCGTCAGGACGCATAGGAATATCTTTGGTCCCTTTGATAAAGCTTCCGTTTCGTCTTTGTTCGAAACAAAGCTCTGCGCCTTCTTCTGGCAAGTAGCCGATTTTGCAGCAAATCTCTGTGACAGTCTCCCGCGTTGCGCCCAAAAAGAATGCACGACACTGTTCCGAAAACATATTTTTTTGCGAAATGCTTGCTGCACAGTTTGCTGCTGCCACTTCACATGCTGTTCTCACTTCTACTGCTTCGACCGGAAACATGCTGACAAAGTTTCCCCAAAACAGCTTTGCCTCGGCTCCTCCTGATGCATTTGCCCCTGCCACCGCTAATTCGTTCCAGATTGCTTCCCGCACGGCCGCGACAGAACTCTCTTCACATGCCGTCTTGCTGCACAATGCGGCTTTCAATGCGTCTGCTGCGAGCTCCCGTGCACATTTGCATTCTAGCTGCCCACCCGGATTGACAGTGCCAAACACCGCATGCATGCCAAAAGCCCCATCCCCCAATGTGTTGGCAGATACAAGAACAGAATTCACGGCGCCTTCTATCAACTTGGGCTGTGCCACATCCGACCCTTCCCAGCGCAGTTTTTTCTTTGTTGGTGTAAATGTTGCAGTGGGTTGAAAAAGGACTGTGTCCTTCATGGTCGGCCAATCACAAGCTCCCTTCCACGACTTGTGCCTCCTGTTTGGGGCAAAGTCCGACGCACTGAACCGAACGCGTGCCCAGCCGCATGTGCCACGTAGGCGGTAAAAGGCAACAGGCACGGTGAGTGTCTGAACATTGGCGAGCCAAAGCCCATATGTTTGAGTCTTTTGGTATGGCAGCTGCGTGTCAGGCAAGCAATGTTGTTGCCGCAATTCCAGGAAGCGCTGCAAACTCAATGCCTCAGATCCTTGAATCTCTGCACTTCCGTATATGGTATTTCCGGCGGCCAACCACACAAATCCGCTTGCGGCACGGCGACTCCGCAGCTCCATCGTCTTTTGCTGCGCAAGAATCTTCTGTAACCATGGCAGTTTGAGAGTCATTACTCTGTCATTCACTTGTGGTACCCGAGCTGTTTTTGCAGCTTCAGCAGCTACGGCAGCAGCGGCAAAATTCGTACCTGTTCCTCCTGAAACATCATCTGTTGCTCCAGGTGCATTCTGCGTCCCATTCTCCGCAAGCTGCATCCGCATGCAGTCCATATTGCAGCATCGCACTAGGCGATAAAGTTCAAGGTTCTGTTGCGCCCGTAAAAACTGCTGGAGAGTATGTACAGGGATTTGTGCCTGCATTCTCCCGCAGCTCCACTGTACGCTCTCAGACTTCACCCAAAGTGCTCCAAAGATGCCGTGCACATGCACAATGTACCTGCCATGCGTGGCGTGCATCTCCACCGGCAATGGCACCAACGCAAATTTAGAGTCTGATGTCCGAGCATTCCAGTCTGCAACACATTGAAGTTCCTGGTATGCCACCGCTGTTGTTGCTCCTAACCGCCACACTGCCTCCTTCAAGCTTGACCGGGGCCATGTATAAGTCCAGAGCAAGAGAATGGCATCTGCTTCCTCCACGCGAACAGAGCATGCCACGTTCGCTACCGATACCCACCAAGAC